TCTTGGGATGGCTTTGGCAAAAAATACCGTTTATATATATATATATATATATTACTAAGGTCTTTTGTCAGGGTTCCCCAGGTAAGCTTTTTAGCCCTGCTCAAAAGGTTAAGGATGCTCATTTGACCGACCTTTAAGCTCTTAGTTTTATCCAGTTGAACGCGGGAACATCGACTTAGAAGTAAGAGTCAAACAAATGAAAACCACCTCAGTAAGAACCCCTATGGCTAAAGTTCTCGAGAAACAAAAGCCGCCTTAGAAGTAAGAGCCCCAACAGTGGATGGACAAAACTCCTGCACCAGCTAGGTCCGTTTAGCCCCTTTTTTACAGGGTGTCCTTTATCCCAGTGCAGGATTTTGTCCATCCACAGTATTGGAACCTGGGAGTGCATGAGAAGCACCTTGGTAAGAACCCTAGCCAAAGCTCTCCCAAACCGAAAAGGCGCTTGAATATTCCACCGAAAATGGACCAACATGGTAAAACCCAAAGGTTAAAAGGTCGGTTTCCTCTTGGCTTTTTGGGGTTGGACCATTTTGGTGGAATTCTAAGGTGGTTTTCATGTTTTGATAGCAGTAGCTGTAGGGGTTCTTGCTAAGGTGGTCAAAGAGTCTTTTTGACTCTTTTGGGCTTTTTGCTTTGGCAGCGGGTTGTAGTTTTGGTTTCGACGTGGTTGGTTTGACTCGCCCTTTTTGGCTTTGGCTGTGGATTTGGTTGTGTTGCTTTTCTGTTTTACATGTTTCTTGGTTTGCGCTCTTCGATTTTGCTTTCAGCTGTTCCAATTTTTTTGCTGTTAGGAGCAGCTTTCTGAGGGGATTGAAGACCGCATGTCTTGTGTTTTGTAGCGGTCTGCAAACTCTCGGTGTTTCTCAAGTGAGCTCAATCCCAGGTTTCCTGCGGGACCCAGTCTCTGTGTCTCTCGGTGATTCAGACGTCGCCGCGGTGGAGGAAGCAAAAGGCATCCCTCCCGTCGACAGACCATCGATCAAACGCCGAACACCTGAGCTGTGGGTGTCATCGTCCAGATCTAGTTCCCAAGGGCTAACCCGTGAATACCCGCAGGGATCGAGTCAGAAAGGCGGTCCCTAGGCTCGGGTACGGGATTCCCCTGTATTTCTTTTAGGTGGCCTGGTCGTTGCTTTTAATGTGAGCTTCCTGGGGTGCTTGGTGCTTCCACATCCCTGCGCTTCGTTTCGAGTTTCGGAGGTTTTGGAGCTGCAGTTGCCTGCTGTGGAAGACTTGCAGGCTGCGGTTCGGGGATTCCGAGACATATTTTTGTTGCCCAACGCCAACCGTTTTTTTCTAGGGGTACCTTCCCCCCAGTCTTTTCAGGGATCCTTCCTTTCAGGAAACCATCAAAACCCTAGCCAGGAGAAACAGCCGGTTTTTGAAAAGAACGATGGTTGAAAAGAATGGATTTGGAATCAACCCCTAGATTTTTTGTCCTTTTAGTTTCCCCGTTTTGGGAAAGAAACAAAGAACACAAAACAAGTTGTGGCGCCAAAAACATCACCGTTCTCTTCCATTCTCTTCCAGGTCCGTTGGGCGACTGAGCATACGCTGGGCCTCGGAAAATAGTCTGTTCGGGTTGACTGAATGTGGAGCATAGGGGTATGAATTTCAGATGGGGATTTATGTCCACCAACCATTTGGGAGGGGAATCCAACCCTTCAAATTCAAATTCAGAGCTGTCGTTGGTTTTTGCCACTGAAACCCAGCAATATGAACCTCAGGTTGGTTTCAAGAGAAACCGAAAGGACAGCCTCGCCATTTTGACATGGGCCCCGCATTTTGACGCATACCAGCGCGTCCTTAGACTTGGTGTGTGAAGTTTCGAGAGGTTTACGGCAGCCCGGACCCACTTGAAAAGACTTAACTTTTGGCATGGCATCGACGCACTCCTGAGAAACGTGATACGCATGCACATTGAAGTGGGACCCTCAAGGAAACACCAGAGGTCTGCAAATCCCGGGTCCATACGGCCCACTCCTTTCGACCACATCCAATGTGAGTTCGGCATGGCTAAGAGTAGCACGGGAGCCACGTGAATCCACCGAGAGCCCATGTCTGCATACAAGAAAGAAATACACAACGAGACTGCTCACTTGACGAAAGCCGATCAATTTCAACCTTTTAGTTTCGTCCTTTTGGTACATATGTAGTTCTGGCCCCAAAAGGGTAGCCATTTACTTCAGGTCCTTTGGGCGACGGGCAACAAGATCCCCCCCATAGCTGCAAGCAGGTCTTGGAAGATTACTTTCCTGTTGGGCACCCGCCCTGGACTGAGGTGTTTTCAAGGATGGAGTCAGGGATCCTGACAAAAACAACAAAGCACCCGGTGACAGAGAGAAGTGAACCCTGCACCCTCCAGCCACCCTTAAGCATTGGGAATATAGCCAACTGAGTTGTGATTTGCCTTTTGCTTAAAGGGTTTGACGGTGAAACACTGGCCATAGGAGATTCAAAACCTGTCCCCCAGTTTTGTGCGTGTGGCAAGATTGGGGCCCCTCCCCCCAATCCCCAAACCAACAGTAGACTGCCACTGGTCTTGTCAGCTCCCATCTGTTTATTTCGCGGGCACCCGTTGTTGCGCTGGTTTCAAAAGAAAACCGAAAATAACACTTCTTCTTCTTTTTTTTGGGGGGGGCTGCGATCCCCTGACAAAAAAGGAGACACCCCTTGGACCACTCCAAGGGACCCGGTCCCTTCGCCCACGGCGAGGCAGCCCTGGACTTGGTGTGTGTGTGTGTGTGTGTGTGTTTTTGTTGAGGGTACCCCTTGTTTTGCTGGTTTCAACAAGGAACACCGAAATTGAGCACTTTCTTTTGGCGGGGGGCTCCGATCCCTCAAAACAGAGATACCCGGTCCCTTGGCCCACTTCCGCGACGGTGCTCGTGAGGCAGCCCTGGACTTGGTGGGCCCTCCACCGGCAGTGCCACTGCCCGGGGTCTGCGCCGTGCGCATCTGGGCGCTGCCAGGCGCCAGCCGCAAGCGCGCGCGCTCGCGTTTTGCGCTGCTCACTCGGGGAACGCGCACAGGAGAGGAACAGACACCCCCAAAACCGGGGCAGCTGGTTGTGGCAAAACGCTTTGTTTTTTTTGGGCAGGACTTGGGGCGGTGCTTGGTTTTTTGTTTGTTTGTCGCGAAACGGGGGTGTGGCTCTTTTCCATGCGTTTCTTAAGGCATGGCCCCTCGAAAAGGACGTCCCTGTCCGATTCGAGTTCGGTGCTCTGTTGCAGGTGTCCAATTCAAGCGACTCCGCATCCAAGAAGTGGACAGGTGGCCGTGAGATGGTGGCGTTTACAGCACCCGACATAGGCTTCCAGAATTGGTGCCACTGGAATCGGTCCGTTCAAAACGCTGGCGGTTTTCTATCCCACGGTCGCCTTGAGAAAAGCCCACGTTCGGATTCCATAGATCGAGAGCTCTGGTCAAAAGTGGCGAGAGCTCGAACCTATGGGGCTTGCAACCCGAGCAACAGTTCACCAAGGGCACTAGGGTTCGTCCCCTTTTAAGGGACTCCCTAATTTGAGGGTGCTGTTTGATTCTGTCGGAATCGACAAGTCCTATGGTTGAAGACATGACTCAAGCCTGCGGTTTTCACGGCCGCATTACTATCCAACTGTTATGAATTGGGCACCTTCCCTTTGCTTTGGGTTGTGAATGGGTCTCACTACGATTTGGAGGAGGTAGTTGATGTTTAAAGGTGAAACTGATACCTTGTTTGTTTGTTTGTTTGCTTGCTTGCTTGCTTGTTTGTTTGTTTGTTTGTTTGTTTGTTTGTTTGTTTGTTTGTTTGTTGGAGACACCCTTGGGAGTGTGGGGGGTTTTGATAAACCAACAGAAGCCAAGGGGAAACCATCTTTCGGTGATGTTGAACAGCCAAGAGTGTGCTGGCTAATGTGAACCCCGGATTAATAACC